AGCGTAATCTTCATTCACTGCTTGGAGGAGAGCCTCAGCAATGCTTCCATATAACTTTCTCCATGCCGTCTGCTGCCGGATTCTTCGTGTCGGGGCCCCAAAACTATATCTTGTAGGGGGGCCCCAAAAATTGTGGGCTGGCCCTCCCTATAAGTATATAAGGGGTATGTATCAGGAACTGGGAGAAAATCTGTTCACCAGGGCACATCAAGGGAAGACAAGGTCTAATGGTCACAAACTGCTGGAAGACTGTTTTACCATCCAAGTCCCCAGAGCCTGGAATAGACTCCCCACAGAAGTGGAGCAAGGACCTCCTCTGGACACTTTTAAGAAATGCTTGGATGATTATCGTGCTGGGATCATTTGACCCCAGCTGACCTCCTGCCCCTTGTGCGGGGGGCTGGACCCGATGATCGCACGAGGTCCCTTCCAGCTGTAATGTCTAAAATCTATTTTCTATAAATATACTGGGGAAGTAAACAAGGAGGGAGAAGAGCTCTTTCAGCTATAGGACAATGTTGGCAGCACAAATGGGTTTATTCTAGCCATGAATAAAGTTAGGCTGTGAATTAGAAGGTTCACAACCATTAGAACAAGTAGGTTATGGAACAGCCTTCTCATTGATGCAAGGGGGAAGGAAAATACCTAACTGCTTTTAAGACTGGGCTTAGTACCTTTGTAATCATCTACCCTGGAAATCTTCAAGAGGAGACTGGACGGTCACCTTGCTTGAGGCCACCCAACCCCAGTTGTCTTTCCTGCCTAGTAGAGTGGGGCTGGACCAAATGATCTTGCAAGGTCCCTTCTAGCCCCTCACAGTCTATTAATCTATGAAAGGGATTGTGTGACAGGGTTGCCTGTGATAGCAAAGGACTGTATTTGATGCCCAGCAGGTTTCTTTCAGTCTTATTTCTTTGTTGCTATTTATAGTAAATGAAGAAACAAGGAAGGCAAGAAATGAATGCATTAAAACAAAAGGGATTAAAAATGTAAATGCTGCATTGTGGAGGAGGATAAGGAAGTCTGGCACTACTAGTTTGATTTAAGACATCCCTAAAGATCTGCTAGTATGACTTACAGCCAGAATTATTTTTTCCTAGGTCATGATCTCAGACCATAACTCAGTGCTTGAAAGGCTAGACACAAGTCTTTGGTCTAAGACAGTGGTGCTCAGCCCTCTGTCTGCAGGCCAAATGAATGGCATGAGCCAGTCCACAAGTTGGATCTGGCTGCCTGCCAGCTCAACCCCATGTGCTGGATACGGTCAAGTGCCAGATCAGGTCACATGCTGGTCCAACCCTACATGCCAATCTGGCCATGCACTGGCCCAACCTCTCAAAATGAATTTAGCTATTAGCCCTCTTAACCACATGTGCTGCATCTGGCTGTATGCTAGTCCAACTTCACACACTGTATCACCTGGAGAGTGATCCCACTGTGGACTGGTATGATGTAGCAGGCAGGGCCAAGTTGTTCAAGCTGCAGGGCTCCCCACAGATCCAGAAATTTGGCAGCAGGGGAGCAACAATTAATGCTACCACTATCCCCACGCTGCCAAATTTCCAGACCCATGGGAACCCCACAGGCCAGAAGCTGAGCACCATTGGTCTAAGAATTAACTACCTAAAGTATCTTGGAATTGATTTTGTATTTAAAAGAAACCTAAAATATCTGCCCTCCTCTCCTTTCTATCCTTCTCATTTCTCCTTTCATCTAAGATATGAAGGCATGCATCTGTCTCCCAAACACTAGCAGACACAAAATATCACCTTGCTTATTTTTATATTTATATAATCTGAAATGAAAAAAAGTACTAGTTCTTCAAAAGCAGGCATTGCTTGTCACAGTGCTTACATATTTTGGATGGTAGTATTTTATTAATTACACATATTTTTCTTTGGTAGATACTGTGTTCTGAAGAAAGCAAATAAGATGAGGATTAGCTGGGTGAAACTGGCTGGATCTAACAGGTTTACTCAAGCAAAGAATGCCTGTTGTTTAATTGACTGTCTGAGGATATAGTATCTCAAATTGTAATTCTGCTCTCCTGATGCAAGGGTAAGGCTGTGACCTCTTTGAGATGAGGCCAAAACAGAAAACAATGATGTGAGGGAGAACACTTTACATTTGTTTGAAAAATACTAGTCCAGTACATTTAATAGGCAAAAGAGAATAAGTCAGGAGTAGCTGCCTTCCTATTAAAATGCAAATCCACAACTTCCAGACCAGACCAAAGAAGGACCTTTGTTTTCCTAGTTCCCAGTTCTCTCCACACAATTACAAAAAATTATTATGGGAAGGTGAAGTGCAAGACCCTTCTACTATGCCTGGTTTTGTACAGTTTAATGTCCTAGTGGAACACCTGTGTAAACAACCTTAGAGTACATGTAGGATGAGGATCCAAGCCTGTCTTAAAAGTCTTACAGTTACTGAGATTTCATAAATAGATGTCTGCACAGTTGTTTGACCCATGTCAGGTAGTATAAACAGGTAATTACCAGTATTGCTTAAAAAAGAAAAACTTTTTTCTAGATGATACTCAGTCCTGAAAGGTACCCCTAGGAGGAAGTCCAGGCAAAATTAGGGACTTTCAGCATTTGATCTTATTCATATTTTATCAGTATTAAATACACATTGCAATCTTCATTGGGAAGTAAGACTGCTAGAATGGAGTGGTAACTTACTGAAATCCTTGGCATTTCATTTCTTTGATGATCTTCTGATTCAGCCTAGGGCTTGGAGCTAAATGCATGTTGCAGTTTGAGCGTAAAGAATATTACTGTTGAGTGTATGAACACTTTCTGATCTTTTTAAAAATTATTTTATGTTA